TTTGAACCTCAGTCTCAATTCTTTTTACAACACACATATTCCAGAGTTTCTTGGCTCTCTCACCAACTTGATATCCCTTGACCTGTCATCATGTCGTTTTGGCGGAAAAATTCCAACTCACTTTGGCTCTCTTTCTCATTTGAAATACTTAAATCTTGCTTGGAATTCTCTAGAGGGTTCAATCCCTCCTCAACTTGGAAATCTCTCCCAGTTGCAACATCTTGATCTCTACGTCAATTATTTTGAAGGAAAGATACCATCCCAACTCGGAAATCTCTCCAAGTTGCAGTATCTTGATCTCAGCTACAATTCTTTTGAAGGAAATATACCATCTCAGCTTGGGAACCTTTCAAACTTACAAGAGCTTTATCTTGGAGGATATAAAATCGTTTATGTTATGTTAAAACAACAAATTATCTATACCTATTATAAAAGAGATATAAAGGTATATAATCATTTTTGGTCTCCTATTTTAGAGTGAACCATTATATCCCTCAAATGTTAAAAAAATATCTTTTTACATCCTTTCTCAATAACCACCTACAACTATTTTAATATCTTATTTATGTAATTATTAAATACACGAAATATATCGACTCTTCTAACATATATAAGAAGTGACACAAATGTTAAAATTAAAAAATTATAAATAAAATTACTATTTACTGTCTCCATATCTTATTCGTAGTTTAATATGAAAATAGTTAAAAGTTTATACGTATGTGGTAGGAATCTTATCCAGCACCTTCTCTTTCCATGACTTAGATTGGGATGTGATGGCATCCTTACTTGCATGAACTTGAGATGATGAGCAAGGAGGAGGATGCCTTCTCCAAGGATCAAGTTCTTCAAAGGTGGACCAAGGTTTTAGGGTGGATGATGATGGAATGGACGAAAATGAAGGTTGGGTAGAAGGTGTTTGAGGAAATGCTTGAGAATGGTACTCTAGGGTTGGCTCACTTCATGATGATGAAGGCCACTTCTAGGGTTGTTTCTCTCAAGGTGGAGATGGTAGGGTTTGGCCGAAAATAGCCAAGGGTGACTAAGGAAAGATATAAAGGCACTAAAGGCTCTCTTTATATTCAATATCCAAAGTATTTACAAGGTGTGGGGTGTTGGGTATTTATAGGAGGGGAGGCATCTAGGGTTGCATTTGGAGTAGGCAAATGCATTCCAAATGAAATGCAAATGAACCCTAGATGCAACTTGGTGGCCAAGGATGGAATCTTTGGGTTTAGATTGGCTATATCTAGGTGCATGATAAGACCATGCAACCTTTGCCCTCCACTTGGGCCTAA